GTGTGTGTGTGTGTGTGTGTGTGTGTGTGTGTGTGTGTGTGTGTGTGTGTGTGTGTGTGTGTGTGTGTACCTGAGCTGGGTCTCTTGCCTGGAACCTGCTGGCTGCTGCTGCTGGGACTCAGCACAGCAGTGAAGACCTCCTCCACATCCTTGCCCTCCAGCTCTGCCACACATTCACACAGTCAAGTTGAACCACTGTTTCCTGTCATGTGACCTGTCAGCTGAGGTGGGCGTGTCTTACCTGGGATCTTGTAGAGTCTGCTGAGGATGGCTCCTGAAACACAACAGCAGTCAGTGAGTCAGAGGTTCAGCAACAATCACTTCCTGTTCGTCTCATCAAACCCACCGTCTGTAACCATCTTATCCAGCTCAGGACTCAGGATGGCGTCCAGAGGCTCCTCCTGCGCCGTCCTCTGGCCACGCCCACAACCTTCAGCTGGCTCTGAGGACAGAGAGCTGATGTCCAGTCCAGCTGGCAGGGAGACAGTAAAACAGGACAAGGTTAGACAGGAGGAGGAGGAGAGACAGGAGGTCAGCAGGAGGAGGACCAGGCTGTTAGATCTGCAGGAGAAGAAGAAGAAGTGAAGATTGAAGGAGCCTGAGCTCTAACACAGACATGAAGAGGAGGTCCAGTGGAGCCTTACCAAAGGGAGAGGGCGAGCGCTCCACCTGGAACTCACCTGGAACCAAACACACAGTCATGATGAGGTCAGAACCTCCAGCTGCAGCAGGACTCACACAGAGCAGTGAGGATGAGGAGGAGGATGAAGATGTACCTGAGTGTCCAGTGGCCAGAATGTGAGGATCCGTGTTGAGAACATCAGACAGGTCCATCAGAGTCTCCTCACACATGGCTGGATGGTAACAGCATGGTAACACATGAACATGTGAACATGTGAACACATCAACATGTGAACACGTGAACACATGAACATGTGAACACGTGAACACATGAACATGTGAACACATGAACACGTGAACACATGAACATGTGAACATGTGAACACGTGAACATGTGAACACGTGAACATGTGAACATGTGAGATGTTCTCCATCAGACTGAGCCTGAAACTGATCTCAGGACTGTTCTGGACTCATCTGGACCTGGTGATTCTGTCAGAACCACTAAAATAAACTGAAGGTGCAGCTCCTGACCACAACAATCTGTGTGAGTCTGAGGCCACTTTGCCAACAGAACCCTGCAGAGTCCAGCAGAGACCAGCTGAGACCAGCAGAGTCCAGCTGAGACCAGCTGAGACCAGCTGAGACCAGCTGAGACCAGCTCAGTCCAGCAGAGACCAGCTGAGACCAGCAGAGAACAGCAGAGACCAACAGATTCCAGCAGAGTCCAGCTGAGACCAGCACAGACCAGCTGAGACTAGCTGAGACCAGCAGAGACCAACAGATTCCAGCAGAGACCAGCAGAGACCAGCAGAGACCAACAGATTCCAGCAGAGACCAGTGGAGTCCAGCAGAGACCAGCTGAGACCAGTGGAGTCCAGTGGAGTCCAGCTGAGTCCAGTGGAGTCCAGTGGAGTCCAGTGGAGTCCAGCAGAGTCCAGCTGAGTCCAGTGGAGTCCAGCTGAGTCCAACATTCAGACTGGACCAACCATGAGATGAAGAAATGCTGATGATTAACACAACAGTAAGAAACTCACGCAGCGCTCCCTGCTTCCTGTTGGTTGCCATGGTGCCCACAGCCTGCTCAGAGGGGGAGGGGCCATGTAGTCTGTGGGCGGGACCTTTCATGTCACCTGATGCTGACTGGTTGAAGCCTGGCGTCTCTGGCCCCACCTTTCCATCCACGTGACGACTCCGGTCCAGGAGATCGCGACCAAAGAAGGCCTCCTGGATGGAGACAACCAATCACAGCACAGGAAGTCTCAGCCAATCAGAGCACAGGAAGTCTCAGCCAATCAGAGCACAGGAAGTCTCAGCCAATCAGTAAAGCTCCAGCAGAACTCAGATCAAATTTAAACAGTTTCATCTTTCTGTTGTCAGAGTCACAACCTGCTGAAACTCTTACACCCTCCACATAAGAACTCTTCAACGTTCTCTAAACACTGAGGTGTGTGTGTGTGTGTGTGTGTGTGTGTGTGTGTGTGTGTGTGTGTGTGTGTGTGAGAGAGAGAGACAGAGATATACCTGGAGGTATGATGGGAATGCCTCCTCCAGTTTCGTCTTCTTCTTCCTGTACCTCTTCTTAACCTTCTCCATCACCTGGTCTGCAGCAGACAGGGTCTCAATGGCAACATCAGCGTCCAGCGCACCTGTCAGGTATGACGTAGGCATGTGATTGTCAGGGTTTCACACAGGTACTAGGTGATGATAAAAGGGGGTGGGCCACAGGTAGCTTACCTGGATCTCGACTCTGTAGAAGCTCTGTGGAGTSTTTCCTGCTCAGACCGGCTTTACCTCCTCGCTGCCGAACCATGAAGCCCCCGATACCTGAGGAAGTGGTGAGGAGACAGGAAGTGATTATAAAGAGGCAGGAGGAAACAGGAAGTGGTGAGGCGGAAACAGGACACAGTGCTCCATTATGATTGGTTGATGGTCCTGTCATCCTCACCTGGTCTATAGGGTTTCCTCTTCTTCTTCTTGCTGTTGTCAGTAGTCTCAGGGTCTTTAGTGAGGTCATCAAGGTGGGTGGAGTCTCTCTCTGGGCTGGAGTCAGATTTCATATCACAGTCCACGTCACCTGAGAACAGGAAGTGATGTCATCATTTACAAACTGAACCTCCTTCAGCCTGAGGATGTGTGGGGACCTGACAGGGCCTGACCTCGGTTCTGGTCTGGCTCAGTGGGGGTCTCTGTGTCCGGTGTAGTCTGCAGGACAGACACACTGTTCTGGTTGATGATCCTCAGCTTCAGTTTGGGTTTACACCTGTTGACAGGAAGCAGCTGGTCAATACAGCTCACCTGATTCTCTGACAATGACAGGAAGTGAGTGGGGCTTACCTGCGGTACCTGCGTGGTGACGTCAGCGGCTCCACCAGAGCCTGCAGGTGTGTCAGACCAGACTCGGTGAGGCAGACTCCATCCTGAGTGAAGGTCCTTGAGTCTGTAAATGAGAGCAGGCCCATGATGAAGCTCTGAGTCCAGTTCACAACATAAACAGAACTGAGACCAGTACTGACCCGGTTCTCTGCTCCTGGATATGATCTGGGTCGTGTAGGGAACCAGACCTTCTGACCTCCCTGAAACACACACATCACAGTCTGTACTTCACCATAAAAGTCTGCACTTCACAGTAAAAGCCTGTACTTCACAATAAAAGTCTGCACTTCACAGTAAAAGTCTGTACTTCACAGTAAAAGTCTGCACTTCACAGTAAAAGCCTGTACTTCACCATAAAAGTCTGCACTTCACAGTAAAAGCCTGTACTTCACCATAAAAGTCTGCACTTCACAGTAAAAGCCTGTACTTCACAATAAAAGCCTGTACTTCACAATAAAAGCCTGTACTTCACAATAAAAGCCTGTACTTCACAGTAAAAGTCTGCACTTCACAGTAAAAGTCTGCACTTCACAGTAAAAGTCTGCACTTCACAATAAAAGCCTGTACTTCACAATAAAAGCCTGTACTTCACAGTAAAAGCCTGCACTTCACACTAAAAGTCTGCACTTCACAGTAAAAGTCTGCACTTCACAGTAAAAGTCGGCACTTCACAGTAAAAGTCTGCACTTCACAGTAAAAGTCTGCACTTCACAGTAAAAGCCTGTACTTCACAATAAAAGCCTGTACTTCACAGTAAAAGTCTGTACTTCACAGTAAAAGTCTGTACTTCACAGTAAAAGTCTGTACTTCACAGTAAAAGTCTGTACTTCACAGTAAAAGTCTNGGACATGGCCCATTAGCCTCTATAGCTAGTGACATGACCATTCATCTGTATTACTGGACTGGACATGGCCCATTAGACTCTATAGCTAGTGACATGACCATTGATCTGTATTACTGGACTGGACATGGCCCATTAGACTCTATAGCTAGTGACATGACCATTGATCTGTATTACTGGACTGGACATGGCCCATTAGCCTCTATAGCTAGTGACATGACCATTGATCTGTATTACTGGACTGGACATGGCCCATTAGCCTCTATAGCTAGTGACATGACCAG